GGTGGATATTGGGTCTCATGGTTGCTCTTATAGCCAAGCATCTCAAGGATCACTGATGCTGAGTTGTACATCAGCTCATTGGAAACAAGTTCTGATGAAGCAGTTGTGACTAGAAACATTACGTCAGTCTCAAGCGTGAAGAGCTATTATTCATATTTCGTTTACTGATGTTTGATGGTAAATTAACTTTTTTGTCTTCTTGTGAGTGAGAAGATGTGCAAAGGTGTCTTTTTTCACATTAGTGGAATATGAACAAGGTTTTGCTCACATTTTGCTCTCGTGGCTTACGCCTCCCCCATCTGCTGTCCTCCTGAATGTTTGTCACGTTGTGCTTCACTCAGTTTAATTGATGTTCATTTTTGCTCTACTTTTACGCCAAAAAACTCCAAACTTCAGGAGTCTATGAAAATGTTAATTAATAGTGTATCAGGGAAAACAGGCAATTAGTGTGAGCTGACAGATAAGCAGGGCTGTGTTCAGGATGCTGATGATTGCAGGAGCTCCACCATAATGCATACTGTACACACAAATCTGATTTGTGTACAAATCTGTACACATGTGAGTTTGGGCTTCAGAATTTATACTTTTTGTTTTTTGCATGGATGAAAAAGAAACATTAATTCTGCTGCTGTTTGTGTAAAACTCTTTTTCATTTAGGGCCAAATGGAGATCATCTGACTGGTTGTATCAGAATGTCTTAATAAAACCCAACAACAATTTGTTATAATATTAGTAAATAGTGTCTGCATTCAGTAAATACATCTTAGAATGAAATATTGAACATATTTTCACACTGATCAGCAGTTTATTTTTTATATGTTTTACCAGGCTAGTCAACCTATTGTTTTGGTCCCTTTAGTTTCTATATTGCTTATTTTTCCAGTTTTGGTAAATAAAAATTGGTCAAATAAACAACAATGGCTGCTCTATTCCTAATTGCACTGACTTAACAAATGACAACTGTTTTTCTACGTTTGACCATCATTGTGCAGCTGTTGGTGTGTTTCAATGTGTTCTACTGGTGCAGAATTATTAAATACATTTGTAATTCATGCCATTTATATCTGTGTTTTAAAAAAAGAAATGCTTTAAATCAATTCAGCACTGTTTCTCTGTGTTGGACCGATACCAGCTGATACAGATTTGGCTAGATTTAATCTGTGTAAACTGAAAGAAATTGTTTTTTTTTAATTGATTAAAAAACAACAACTTTTTTTTCTTGTAAAAATGTAAATATCTAAAGCAGTTGTGTCGTCACATCATTGTTTTGCTCAATGTTTGTCTCTGTGTTCGCAGGAGAGCCGGCAGTGGCCCGAGAAAACAACTGCCTGACGGCGGCCAAGGCCTGCAACTTGAACGATACATGCAAGAAGTACCGCTCGGCCTACATCAGCCCCTGTACCAGCCGCGTCTCCACCGCAGAGATCTGCAACAAAAGGAAGTGCCACAAGGCGCTGCGGCAGTTCTTTGACAAGGTAAGGCACTGAACGCTATGTGACTGCTGATAAACAGAGGTTTGATGTCCAACACCAGGAAATGTTTTTTTTTTTTTTTTTTTTTTTAAAAGAGAACAATAGTTTTTTTTCAAGTAGATAAATTTGAGAAACTTTCAAAACTTAGATTAAACTGTTGACCTTGTTTTGTTTGGCAAGGCTGTGATTTTCAGGCACCAAGTATGTTTCTGCTGTCCTTTTTCATTTTCAAACAAAATGACAAGGAGTATTGTAATTGCAGTCCAGCCTCCACAATGTTCCGCATTATAATCTTGCTGGTTCAACCTGAAATAAACAGAAAGCTACTAAGAATACAAAATGCTGTCGATCATAGACTGGTGTATTTTTCATTTCTATGCCTTATCAAACTTCAGCAGAAAAAGTACAACTTAAGGAAGGAAGGGTCTTTATTTGTTTGTATTTACTAGATATTGTTGACTACTTCAGCCTATTGAAGCTTTTATTTGGTTAAAGTCAATTAAATCTTGAGAATATTAACAAAAATTATTTATTCAAATCTTGGAACTAATCAGCAAACAGTCAAAAAACAGTTTTCTCTTCTTCCTAGCAAACGGTAAAAACTTCCACCTGTATTTGTTTAACTACAGTAGCTGCTTTTCCATTACAAAAAACTTTGTCAATATGGCTATATAATACAATTTCACAATTGTGTTGTTTCCAATAAATAAGAAATGTAATTAAAATCACACGAGAATATGTCTGTTGATGTGATGGCATCATCCTCCTGTCATTGTCTTTTCCACAATCAATGAGAACAAAATGTTTCTATTGTGGTTTTGTGAAATACTCTACTTTCAAGACAGCTGAAAAACCACCTCATCCTAAATCAAAAGCATATTGAAAAATGTGAGTTTTTTCAAATTTGCCTTGTTTCCATTTAGCAAATTTAAATAAACACACTTTTTTTGTGTTTCCAAAATGTACAATATGTTCAATGGCAAGAACAAACAAACAATGGTTCAAACAAATGGCATGATGTCCTTTCTAGGTAATAAAGCTAAGAAACAGTTTCCAGATGGTCTGTTGGTTCTTCATTGTTCAAAACAAAACAAACAAAAAAACAAAAAAACTTGGACGTCGAATAGCAACATTTAACAAGTTAAGCAACTTAATTTGATATTGATGCACAGAACATTATCCACATGGAGCAGAAATCTCATGGAAAAAATAGTTGTTTCCCATTACCACAAAACTGTGAGAATTGGAATTATAAAATATATGTTCTTAATGGAAACACGACAGTTTAAAAAAAAAAAATCTTTTTCATCAAACGGTTTTGGCGCTAGAATGAGGTGTTTATTTTTTTGGGTAGTATCGGAACTTGTTTTAATTTGCAAACCTACTATGGAAACGCTTTTTTGTGTCACATGAGTTGTGTGATCAACTGGATGTTGCGGCTGGATGTTGCCGCTACTTCCTGTCATCTTGACAGGAAGTAGCGGAAGTAGTAGTTGGAGGATGGTGAGCATGATGACGCTGCTTGTTTTTTAAAGACTGATCCTATGAACAAACTTATTCATGTGTGGATTAGTTTCTTATTTAAAAAAAAAAGCTGCAATTGCAAAAATATGTTTTTTGACAGTAGCAGAACATTGACAAAGTTTTGCTCACATTTGTAGTGGAAACACAGCTAATGTTGATTTTAAAACAACTTCCTCCTTTGACACACAGGTTCCTCCAAAGCACAGCTATGGTATGCTGTTCTGTTCGTGCCCTGTCAGCGACCAGACGGCGTGCTCTGAACGCAGGCGTCAAACCATCGTCCCTGTCTGCTCGTACGAGGAAAAGCAGATGCCAAACTGTCTGGAACTGCAGGCCTCCTGCAGGACCAACTACATCTGCAGGTTGGACACAGCAGTATGTGAAACAATAGTGATGTCATGAAGAAAACATGCAACAGAGGAAAGCTCAGTGGAATGAGGTGAAGATGCTAGTCAGGTTTGGAACATTACAGCTAGTCAAACATTACAGAATGTCTCCTAGACTAGTGAGATGAACAGTGGTTGATCCAATAAGCAAGAATGAAGTGAAAATCTTCAAACAGCACATTGGTTTACAAACCGTGTTGTCCTGTTTTCAACTGAACTAACTTCTTTATCCCAATGATGTTTGTGTGGATGTTGATATTGTTTTCTCTCAAAATTTAGATGGTTTGGTTAAGAAATATTTCACATTTTATCGTGTCTTGTAGCGCGGGGCGCTGGTCTTGGTCTTGAATTGGCCTCGACTTCCCTCAGTCTTGGTCTCGACTTGGTCTTGAACCCTAAAAGTCTTGGTCTTGTCTCAGTCTCGATGCACTCTGGTCTTGGTCTTGTCTTGGTCTCGGGTTAGGTGGTCTTGACTACAACACTACTGACAAAGTTTGTCATGGAAACGCAGCTGCTGAACAGTATATGAGTTGAACAGAGTGATCCAGACATTGATTCATGCTCTTTGGGGCCACATTCAGTCGTGTTTTGGGGTTTGTTGGATTAAGGGAAGCGCTAGACATCATAAATGGTCTCTGCTCAGTCTGTGGCCCCTGGTTCCCCCCGCCTTTCCTGCCTCCGTCTCTTAACAGCAGCCAGCGTGAAGACAATAAATCCATCCAACGAATTTTTCACTTCCCTCAATTTTGACCTTTTTTTTTTCTCTCTCTCTCTCTCCATGGTGCTCATGATCCATCAGACATATGCTGAGGGCTGAACAACAGGTCTCACAGCAATGCAGCTTCCTCCTAGTCCATTTGTCAGTTAGCACAGATAGATTAAAGGCGTACATTTCCACAGGCTCCCACAGCATATGTCAGGTCTGGTCTGCTGGTTGCTGCTCCGCTCTGCTCCAGATTGGTGGGATTACATAGATCATGGAGAGGAAGGAGGTGTTCACGTGGATGATCTGGTGCATACTTACAACTGATTCCTCGTGGAGCTTCAAGGAAAATATGGAAATTATAATTATGCAGAAAATGGTTGACTTATGTGCATTACAGTGCAAAGTCTTAAATTATATCTTACACTCTTTTTTGCTTCTGAATGTCATAGTTCGTAGGAATTATTCTGAGAAACTTCAGTTTTTATTTCTTTTTCTTGAGCATTTTAAATAAAACTAGAAAATAATGGCTGAAAAATCCACAAATACACATAGAAACATTTGTTTTAATAGTTCAAACACCCAATATACATTATTATGTGTTAGTACATATAGTGGAAACTGACTTGTCACCACTGCAGAAGCTAGTCTATTTCTGCTTTTGAGGGTTCAGCCAATCAATGTCAAATAAACAAAATGGAGCGCAAGGATTGGCTGATTGCAAATGCCAGCCAATAGCTTTTCAAGCAGCATTGCCCCTTGCTATGTCAGCTTCCCAGGCTGCATTTTATTTCAAATATTTTTGATTTACTCTACAAAAATATCCACAAGTAGTTGGATTTTAATGCGAGGTCACATTCTCCAAAAAAAAAAAATCAGAGGTGAACAGTGATGATGTGATTCCATAAACTGTCTTCTTAGCATTTTGGACAGTTGAACCCTCTTCCTGTGTGTCTTAACATTTTTGTCCCAAAAGTATTGAATTCTTATGACAAAATCTGCCAGAATAAAAGGTTGAACTACAGGCTCCCCTGACTTTTACTGCTGTTAAAGTCAGGGGAGGCGACTGTGAGGAACTCAAAAAGAAAAGAATGTTTTTTTTTTTTTTTTTTTTTTTTTTTTTT